GTACTTCTTGCAACATAGGGTTGACCCTGACTCCACCACGCGACCGCAAGCCCATCGTGCTTGCAGAAGGGACTGCCCAACTTTGGTTGCATCCCACGCATTATGAGCGCCTCATGTACATATCAGTCCTGGTAAATGTTGTTACCAAGTACGAAAAACGAGACGATTCCAACTCACGTTCAATTCAAATGTATGGTAGAGATGGTATGGTAGCCAACAGAACATGAACGTGACAACCATTAGCGATAGCATTTTGACTGCCTGAAAGTTCTCCAATATCTAGACGTTTCTAAAACTGAAGCGGGAGCGTCAGTCATATGACTCTAGTTTGTGTAAATACGTAAAAAATAAAAGCCACGAAAGAATAAGAAATGATCATCCATCTGTCGCAATACTCTTCTCTAAAGGCAAGTCCCGCGATAAAATGGGTGGGAATAGCGTTCAGTAATGAAATGAGGGGGGAGGTGGGAAAGTGGTCTGGCAATAGAAAACAGGAAGCAAAGGAAAGCTACCGATTCGCGATACGAACCTTGTATATCCAGTCGCATTTGACGGAGATAGGGAAGGAGCTTGTCGGACGAGTTTCACGGACCCTGCTCTCAAACATGGTTATCGTCTTTCTCCATCATGAAGTCGAAGCGGGTATCGGACAAGAGGCCCGTCACGCGGTAAGAAGGCAGAGTCAGCGGACGTGTCGCGGCGCATGATGTGCGATGTAGGACATTCAATGGCACATCCTATTTACCTTCCCTTCGAAAAGCCAGAAAGTGTGTGGTGCAAACAAAACACCACAAGTGACGACAGCATCCAGAAAATGCAATTATTTTTTTGTCAACGAATTGATTAACCTGTAACAGTTGTATTAAATCAGTTGATACTAATTACAAGTATCATTTACAAGAAATCAGCTATCACTATGCACCACTACTAACCAGATTTACTTGGAGGCCGTCGTCAGTTGTGGTACTTGGTCTGCACGCGACACTTTCTGGCTTTTTGAAGGGGAGGGTAACTATGACGCTAAATCACCACAGTACGCGCTGCAACTCGTCCTCTGTCTCTGCCTTGCCGCCGATCGATGGTCTCCTGTCGGGTACGCGGACAAAGCAGCTAGGGCACGATTAGACTGCAAGTCGCTTCTGGTAGTGGTTCTCTTCGAGGCCTACTTGATTCATATATTTAGATATAACAGAATTAAATTCTGGCGTGAAGTGCAAAAAAAGTGGCAAGAACTTTAGAACACCCTAATATTGCTGAATTTCAGTGGTGGCCCACGAACTTTGTTCCTTCTTACTGCACTTATCCGTTCACCCCAGAATGACGTGTGCGAAAACTACTGACTATATGAGGTAATAATTTCATATGTTTCGATATCTCGACGATCGCTTCAACAGCTTGGGAGTTTTACTAGGGTCAAATTAGGTGCCAGGAATAGGTGGTTCAGAACGCTCTGCCGTTCTTTGATTCTTTAGCTTTCAAGCGCTTGATTGTCAAATGGTTTCAAGCAAACATATAACTTGAAGACGCTTTTCTCATCATATCTAATGGTATTGGCAGTTTTGCTCTGTGACGCATTGACGACAGGTCACATATTCGCCTTTTACCGCGTGCAAAAGGCGCAAGCCTACGATCACGGAGGCACAGCCAAGGATCCTAAAAGAGAAGAATATAAAAAGTCTAGGAGGCAGGCTCGCACTTCTCAACATTTCAATGCTCGAGTAGGGGGAAGAAAGGGAACATCAGAAGCGTGAGTGACCGCTTGACCACATATAAGTCTGCGCAGTAATGCTACAAAGTTTTTCGCGGTGGAAAGTTGGAAAATTGTGAGGGTCGCTGGACGTTGACAGCAACTAGTTGAAGTTGTAGCACAAGCAGTCTGCATAGAATCGTTGGGAGGTTGCTTCTGAAGTGCGAGTTACCGTAGGCATTGAGAACGTTGAATCAGAAAATTCAGGAAATGAAAATACCGAAAATCGCCATTTCAAAATATTGTGTTCGTTTTATACGCAATGAAAACGTCGTTCCTGCTCAAGCCACACAACTTTTGAAATTTGCACGAAGGGACGATTATGGTGGCTGATGTGCGAGTGGGCCACTCTTGCAGACGAGGTGTACTGGCACAACGAGAAAATAATTTCAAAGAGACATCAAAGTACTGTGGAAACTTGACCATTTGTGCTCAGCAAGGGTCAATAAAAGGTCGACTCTTCTCCACAAAAATCCGATGCCGCACATCGTGCAGCTGCACCAGTTCCTAGCTAGGCTTGAAACTTCACTGCAATAATCTTACTGCTTCAATCTTTGCTTACCGACCACCACTTTCCAAGCATTGGGATGGGTTTCAACAGAGAAACGCTCTAGAACTCAACGTGACTCTGAAGCGACATCCGAGTATACATACAGCCTGCAGACCTTTGACTCGAAGCAACGGAGTATATCAGGCTCGTTCTCGTTCTCAATGGGATTTTTGAATGGTGTTTTTAGATCGACAACAAACTGCGTCAATTTTCAAGTTAGCAGGCAAAAAAACTCGAATTTTTCTGAAAGATCTAATAATTGCAGCTTCTCGAGGGTGTCTGCATGGTACGAAGGTTGGCGAAAGGCGCAGCGGGCAAAGGTTCTTCCTGATGTGATGCGAAAGTCAGTGAAAAGTTGTAAAGGTACCTTGTTCTTTGCTCTTGTATGATTCGAGCCTTTTGAGTTGCTACCGGCTGCCATATCTGTTGATCTGAAAGCAAAACTCTAGCAGCAGTAGTGGACATCGCAATGTGACAATACTTTCACAAAAAAAGCTGTTGATTACCTAGGGAAGGGGGTTTTAGGTAAATGTAAAGATAAAAGCGACATAGCAGGCATAAAAACTACTGTTCTGTTCAGTCCATTCATTTTTATTCCTCAAACATAATTGGTGATACAGTTCAACCACCGGTCACCAAACCCAACTCTACGCACTCCGAACGACTTGTTTAGGTTCTACATATAAACATAGAATGGTGACCAGTAGTCGAATTGTATCACCAGTTATGTTTGAGAAATAATGTCAACATTCCCTCCAAAGAAATCGAATGAATGTAAAGGATTGAGCTCCAATCGGATCTACGTGCATTTGAGCTATCTGGTCTCTGAATCCTTTGCCAGAATTTCTTTTGAATTTCTAGATATGAACGGGTATTGAAAGAGCCTTCAAGTACATAGCAATTTACATTACGTATCTTTTCAAATTCTTAAGTCCTTGAAATGATTAGAAATTTGGAAGCGTTGATGCTGAAATGATTTTTATGTCCGCTAGCTTCGAATTCATAAAAAAAACGTTGGTAATTCTACTCTACCATGTAATCATTTTATTCATTTATGCATTCAGTGCTCTTGAGACTTTGAACTACGGCTTTTTCAAAAATGAGTCTACGAATGTGCAATGTACAGCAACCTTGGCCTCTAGAAATGCCCAATCAACATAGAGAGTTGATTTACCTGGACAAGCTGATTTCCAGGATTTGATCCCCAGACCAGGCGCGCCGTAGTCACTCCTCTTGTCACCACACTTCCGTTATTTATTATTCAAAAGGAAACTAAAACTAAAAATCTAGGATTCTGTCACTAATGGTACATTGAGACAGTGGTGATAATTATTCTACATAAATCAGACTAGAGGTCTGGAACTATGCGCTGGAACCCTCTGCCGAGCTGCCTGGGAAGCCGCTGTCTCTGGCCTATTCATGTTGTCATGTGCTTCTTCTGAATCACAAAGTGTCCGTCATCAAAATCTTTCACTCGCTTTCGCTTCGTCCGTACCATGAGAATATTGGGAGTTGGGCTTGGTATTGTTGTTTGAAATCCAGACTTCATTTGATTCTCCTTCAGCTTGGACTCGTACCAAACTCACTTTTTTCACCAACTTTTGATCACTCATGTGGCAGCTGAGTAATGAATTGAACAGATCTAAAACCATCGACACGAAAATATTCAAAATATGCAAGACTTTTCGTTTTTTTTGCGCTACAAAAAGATCAGCGATCTTTCTCAGGGGCGGCATGTATAACTTATCCAGGAAAACCATCCTTACTGAGTGAGAAAGTGCAGCTACAACAAAAACTGAAGTTCCTCTTAGAGCTAAATCGGTGCATATGTGTATAAACTGTAGTCAAAGGGATTAGCAATAGTGCAGTTTTAGTCCACAAAACGCAACATTCCCATGCACCGAGAGGATAGGATTCAAAACTCGGCTTAGTAAAGTGCGAAAGAGCATGAAGGCAGAGCCATAAATTTTCTTAGTTAAATATGAGAGATCAATCAGTCTGGACGATTACACGACCAATGTGTCCGTCCGTAACGGCCCAGTATTTTATCCCACATAGCATGTTTTGGTATTCGAATCGCGAGAATTTGTCAGTTAGCCTACTTTAGGGAATGACTTTTAGTGGGGTCACGAGTAAACCGAACCTCATATTTGAAAATTGAAAAGCGCTTCCAAACTTGACAAATGCCTTCTACACAGCGTCTTTGGAACATCGAGCGATCCGAGTTCAAACTCCTCTCAGCTCGACGGATGGTGAATGATTTCATATTCTTAGGACACTGAAGGCGGTGGGCGAGGTTTACTTCCTCATACGAAAGAACATTCTAGAAGTAGTTTGTAGTAAGATTCCTTAAGGCGCCACCCTGCGCGACGAAGATTGCTGACTGGGCCATAAGCCAAATGTTCTTTTGGCTCCCACTATCCCCGCTCCTCCCGGCAGATCAACGTTACACGAAGTAAAGTAAGCTCTGGGATTGAATGGCAGAGCTGATTTTGAGAGGTTATTCCCGATTGTCCACATCAGCTCCGGGGGGGGGGGGTGGAACATATTCATGTGCGAGTTTGCGAGTTAGAGCTCGTCACTCAGCTCTGTCACTTCGGGAACTCCTTAGAGGGAATCGCAGTATTTGAGCACACTTTCTTTTGTGAGAGCCGCATATTTCGTGAAGGTCCCATTTTTCTGTTGAGAGAAGAAACCTCTTACCTGAATGCGCATGCGATTCGTGCAAACGTGAATGAAAGCACAAAAAGCGGCAGTGCGTACTGGATTAGGAACAGAAGGTGGTCGAACCTGAAGTGAATTCATCGATGTTCTGCTTGATTTATTACGCAATTGCAATGAATTCCTTTTGCTGAGAAAGACTCAGGGTTATTTTCACGGCTACGCGCTCAGGCACTGCCCACGTCAGTCTGCTTTTGAGGGGCGATATAGCAGTAGGAGGACTTCAGAGGTCGCAGCTTCAGAGATATTTTACGGTCAAAATTTAGGTGAAGAAAGATTGGAGTCTGCCTTCTCTGGGCAATTTATCGGAGTAGAACCGTTCTACATACGTATTGTATGTTGTTATATCATTCAACCCTTCCCAAAGCTCACTAACCCAGCATCTTTGTGGGAACCATCGCAAAGTGAGCAGCTGCCGATAACAGCAGTTAATAAATCAGGAGCAAATCAGTCCATCATCATACGTAGTGACGTGATCTCAATTGAGCACCTTTTCTTATGCGAAACGGAGCATATTTATACAAATGGCTCATCCCAAAACGTCCTCAGCACTGGTTTTGAATTTTCACGGTGCCTTGTAAAACACATGGATACCTGCTACTACACACATTCTTGTGCATTGTCGAGATATGAGGGGATGCTTCGAAATTAACCCTTTGGCGGCAACAGCACCCACCGGTGGGTGCCACCTTAAACTTTTGTTCCTTGGACATTTGAAACATTTTTATCATTTCTGTATTTATCAGCAAGCTTCATAATGTCTATTTAGCAGGGTGTACAAAAATATCAACAAAAGCTAATTATGGAAGTTTCAGAATGTGGCGTTTGCCCTGCCAGCCTGTCAACGGGGGGTTTTCATGATCAAGCTGAACGCAAATTGTTGACCAGGTCTTCTTCGTTTTTTTTTTCAGAAACAGGGAGCGATTTGAACTGCGTCAAAAATTCTACTGCACACATAAGAAATTTTCTTACCCTCCATCCCTTTAGAATCCGTTTCCCCTCCCATACTATTGATTTTTCTGCCAGCAATACATAATGTGAAATTTCAAGACGGCAGCCATTAGTGCATTGCTTAAGTCGAAAATCTGTTGGAAAAACTGCTTTTGAAGATAGTTTTGCCCAATGTTGAGCAAGAGGCCGGCGCGCCAAAAACGGGCGTGGTCCCAAAACCGCTACGCTGCAATTCCGCATCCTCGTGAAAGGGTATGATCCAGTCTCGCGCGGGCCGAAAAATCTTTAATAAACTCACATTTATTTAGCTGGTATTGAGCACGAAGAACAGCCTTGTCCACTTGTTCATGATCATTGCAAATCCTAGCCTATGCTACACATGCGTACCCAAACACCACCAAGATTTTTTGATATGGTTAATACCAGGCGCACTCGAAAACGCTAGTTAATATAATTAAGTCGAGAAACCCGAGTATTCCGTTCTGTTCCGATAGTGTTGTTTCTGTCAGTGTTTGAGATACGATTGTTATCACAGAGGTACTTGTTTTGGATGGAGCGCATTGCTCCGGCTGAGGTTTGAACGGACTGGTTGCGCTGACTAGGCCCGCATCGCTTATTCGGCTATTCACCCTCTGGCGACAATGGCACCCACCAATGGGTGCCGCGTCTGGCGCGTGGGACACAGGCACCCAATGGTGGGTGCCCCTCAACATCTTCATCTTTGCCTAATTTAATCATGTTTAACATACCAGCAAATATTAGCAACATTTCTAATATCTGTTCTAGCGTGGCTCATAGAAATGTTCAATACGAGATATTTTATATAAAGTTTTAGAATATGTATAGCATTTAGCTCGCTGGGCATAGTAATTGAATTTGGCATGGTTATGCTGAAGATTAAGCACCTATCAAGGCTTCCTCAGCTTTCCATAGTCTTTGCACACATGTGTGGGTTTAGAATTTATCAGAAATTCTACTGTAAACTTCAAATTATAGGGTTTTTACCCTTCAAAACCGAGCTCCCTTTGCGGATTTCCCATTTTTTCACATCAATACAGAATACGCAAGCTTAGAACTGTAGTCATATCTAGTACATCAGCAAGATTGACTATTCGATGGAAAAACTGCCTTGAGGGACCATTTTGCCTGATTTTGAGCGAAGTTGGCGGGCCAAAACGGGGCGGGGTCTCACGAGCACATTACGTGCAAACTCGCAGTCGTCAAAAAGGTAATTATGTCAATCTACTCCTTCTTTGTTTCATAGTTTGAACAACTTTTGATGAATGCTAAGTGAAATGATTCTAGAGCTTAGCCTTAGCGTACGTGTTTACTACAAGTGGGAGCAATGGGATGTTATTTGCCCAAGTTAAGAAAAAAAAACAGTACTCACACGGGATGTGCTGGTGCTGCACAAGTGTGTCGAATCGAGGCCTCCTTCGTTAGAATATTGTAGAGGTAAAGCTCTCTCACCTGCAAAAGCTTGTCGACGCATTTGTTTGAAAATATGCAGCCTTCCAAGTGTCTTTCTCACTTCCTCTCATGCTAAAAGATAAGTGGCCGGTTAGCGGCGTGGCTACGTGGCACAAATGTGAGTCGCGGACCAAAATCCACCATCTACTTGTCTGACCCAAGCGTGGATTGACTCAGGAGATGGTCTTTCGTTTCTGTGGCGTTTTGTTGGTTTATACCGTCTATCTCTGCTCACCTAAGACCTTCTGAAGCATGTATGTGTGGCGCGTTCTGGGAATGTGCGGGTGATCTCCTGCACGTCGGCACGCTCAAAACTTGCATTTAAGCGACAGCCTAGTACAGGAAAGGTGGTTCGGAGTAAAAACAAGGTGCATCACGAGCAAATAGGATTTTAGAGAAGTTATAGCACGATCGACCATATTCACAGCAGTCGTGCGACGTAAGAGCTAGACTCAGCGTAGACAGAAAAACCATTCAACGGCCTATGGAAAGGATGGTGCGAGGAGTTTCCTTATACGGGAAAGCAAAAGAGAATTCGATGTTCTAAGTTCCACAATGATCGAACATTGAGGACGCTGCTGTTTTCGACAATTAATCGAAGATCGAGTGGGATGGGTACGCTCTGCGGTTTTGTGATGACCGTTGTATTAGACTGGTTACCGACTGGACCCTTCCAGTGCAGGGATAGCCGAGTGGTTAAGAGGTTAGACTCATGTCTGCACCTCTGAAAACCGCGAGTTCGATCCCTGCCGAGGTTAAACCATGCCTTGCAAAAATTGCAAAAATGGTTCTAGTACCAGCGTCAGGCCCAGGTTGACAGGCCGGCTGATGAATACCCCAGTCACACCAACATGTCTAAAAGTTGTCAAAGAATCAGTGATAAAGCTAGGACGTCACCCGGAAGTGGCGCGCAGAACCCCCGCCCGAGTTCTGTGGTCAGTATGCGAGGGCTACCGAGGAGTGAACGGCCTCGGCCAAAGAAGCTAGTTCGAATTGGAACTCTGAACGTAGGGTCGCTAACTGGAAGGTCCCGAGAGGTTGCTGATCTGATGACGCGCAGGAATATCCAAGTCCTATGCCTTCAGGAGACGCGATGGAAAGGTGCTAAGGCCAGGGAAATCGGGGAAGGTGTCAAACTCTACTACAATGGGGAAGACACCAAGCGGAACGGTGTGGCCATAGCGGTAGCGGAGTCGCTCAAGGACTATGTCTCCGCTGTGAACAGGATCAGCGATCGGATCATGGCTGTGAGGATAGACACGAAGGAGGGGTACTGGTCAATACTCTCCGTGTACGCTCCGCAGACCGGATGCCCCGAGAGTGAGAAGGACGAGTTCTACCTGAGCCTTGACGAAGCCATCAGATCGATTCCGGAAGGCGATTACCTGACCATAGCAGGTGATCTGAATGGGCACGTCGGCAGCGACAGAAGAGGTCTGAAAGGGTGCACGGAGGTAGAGGAATAGGAGAGAGGAACGCCGAGGGAGAGAGGGTTCTGGAGCTGGTTACCGCAACCTGCAGTACGTTTTCGCGAAAAGGGAGACTCAGAAAGGTAACCTACAGCAGTGGAGGGAGACAAACGGAAATCGACCATGTGCTGGTAAGAAGATCATCCCTCAAAACTGTGAAGGATATCAAGGTTCTTCCTGGCGAAGAACTGGCTCCCCAGCACAGGCCCCTCCTGGCAGACATTGCCATAGACCTCCCCAAGAAGACAAGGGTAAGAACCGAGAGGAGAATCCGGTGGTGGAAGTTGCACCAAGCGGAGAAGGATGACCTCAAACGAAGGATAATGGAAGTTGGTCTCCCAGATCCTAACGGGCCAATACAGCGGACTTGGAGCAACGCGGCTGAGACCATCCTGCGATGTGCCAAGGAGGTACTGGGCGAGACGCGAGGTGGATTCAGAGGAGACAAGGCAGCGTGGTTCTGGAACGAGGAGGTCCAGCGAGTCGTGAAGCAGAAGAAGGAAGCATACAAGCGCTGGCAGAAGACCCGGAGCCCCGAGGACCTCGCTGCCTACAAGAGTTGCAAGAGGCTCGCTAAGGCTGCCGTCGCCAAGGCGAAGAACACGGAGATGGACGCCTTGTACGAGAAGTTGGAAAGCAAACGCAGAGAAGTTCGTCTTCAGACTGGCCAAAGCCCGGCATCGGCTACCCAAGACATCAGGGTGGTGAAGAGCGTGAAGAGCAGTAACGGTGCCATCCTGAGGAAGCCAACTGAAGTCAGGAGGAGGTGGGAGGAGTACTACAAAGCGCTCCTGAACGAGGAGTTTTCCCACAAAGACAGCTCGCAAGCAGAGGAGACGGCTTACCCGATTCCTGAACACGATAACCACTGAAGGAAGGATGCCGGATGCCTGGAGAACAAGTACTATCGTCCCCATCTTCAAGCAGAAGGGTGACGCGATGGACTGCTCCAACTACCGCGGGATCAAGTTGACTGCTCATACAATGAAGCTGTACGAGCGACTGGTCGACTCGAAACTGCGGGAGCTGGTCCCGATCTCCCAGGAACAGTTCGGGTTCATGCCCGAAAGGTCTACAACGGATGCCATCTTCATCGCAAGGCAAGTGATGGAAAGTATCGAGAAAAGCGCCGACCCTGCTACCTAGCCTTCCTCGACCTGGAGAAGGCGTTCGACCGGCTACCACGAGCAGTACTATGGAGAGCGCTCAGGGAACGGAATGTGCCAGAACACCTGATCTCTCTGGTGAAGGACATGTACGATGGGGCGAAGGCAGCTATACGCACCCCACACGGCCTAACGAAGGAAGTGGACATCACGGTTGGGGTGCACCAAGGGTCAGCTCTGAGCCCGTTCCTCTTCCTCCTACACTAGATGTCATGGTGAAGGGGCTCATGGAAGGACCACTAAAGACCATCTCTACGCTGACGACATCGCCCTGATAGCGGATAGCAGAGAAGAACTACAGGCCAAGGTGCAGAAATGGCAGAAAGTCCTGGCAGAAGGTGGGCTCGGCTGAATGTCAAGAAGACCAAGTTCCTGAGCTCCGAAGAGGGTGCAGAGCCGATCGTGGACGGCCATGGTGAGACCATCGAAAGAGTGGAGGACTTCCGATACCTCGGGAGCGATCTGGCAGCCGACGGAAGTGTGGATCAGGCAGTGAAGGCACGAATCAACGCGGCATGGATGAAATGGAGGGAGTCCACTGGATCCTCTGCGATCGAAGGTGCTCCAGGAAGATGCCCTAGACAGAACGAAGTGGCGACGACTGATAAAGACAACGGACCCTGCGACTGCGCGGGACTAACGCTATGGAGAAGAAGAAGAAGAAGAAGAAGAACCGACTGGACCCTTCCAGAAGTCAAAGGAACACGGGACCTCCGGTCCCATCGACTACTTCAAGAAAGCTTCAGGCTAGAAGGAAGTCAAGATATGTGTCCCACAGGCGAGGAGGATCCAGTGGAGCGATCCGTAACACCACTGGTACGAATGGAGACGGTGCTGGCGCTCGCTCATGGAACTCGAGGAACTACGCGACGACAGCTAATACTGTGCAACGTTTGTTCGTCCAGTGATTCAACCAAACTTGGGTGTGAACGTGACCTCCTCACAATAAAAATTTCTGATGAGCATTCTGTCTGTACATCTGAATCTCTAAAGAGGGGCAATTTTATCAACAAATCTTCGCAATTTTACTCACTGTTGCTGCAAAAGCGAATGGAAGCGCTGTCGCAGTGGATATTGCCCAAATGATGGCAATAGTGATGAGAGAGCGACGACGTGACAGTGGACGTTTCCGCAGCGGCCGCACTACAGCTTGACATCTAAAATTGGAAGTTTTGTGAAGAACATGACCAGCAGGTCCGGGCTAAAACTACTGTTCGAACCCGCACCTCCCAACAACCGGACAAGTGCGACAATTTACTCTACCGGGGCACCGTTCCGTACTGATTCAGCTTCAAAAAACTTTAGAAGCTGTGACGTAATTTGTAGCTCACTTGCCCGGTAAGCGAGAGTGCGAGGAGTCCCGCCTGAGACGAAGTTCATGTTCACCACCCAGCCCTCGTAAAATCTTCAAGAAACTCTTCTTGCCGCCACTGCAAAGCATACCCCCGGATGTGGTGAAGCTGCGACTCCTGCCGGAGGCACACTACTGACGATCTAACTTTTCCGTTGCCTAGACTCAATGTGAATGCCAGCAGTAGTTCACCGCCTTTCAGTTCAAATTTGCACGTTTTGAACCATTATTATCTTGTTTCCATGTATGGTGCACCATACGTATGTGTATATGTATATTATGTAATTCTATTGCTTCCATGGAGAAGTATCGCACACTTGCGAGTCCAAGGCGAACAGAAGCCATCAAAGACAACTGTCCTTTCCTTAGGCCACTGGATTTGTCGTTTACTTGGTGCGAGAAAGTAACTTGAGCTTACCTATCCCAGCTAAGAGCCATCATTGAGAATACGGATACTGTCGTTGGAGCGATACCGAAGAATGAGGTGAGAACACAAATGTTGCCATACCTGAATAATTGGATGTTTTATATCAGATTATAAGGAAGATGTGTAGATATAAGGTGTTAGGTGTTCCGTCGACCACTATCTCAACTGAAGTGGCGATATGCCAACCTCGAGATCTTTGCATCGCTTAAATGGAGCTGGATTTTTTCGTCTTTTGCAGTTTCGATTTGAAAGAAATCAAAATAGTTGCAGGTTCATTTGTGTGACTTTTGATTAGCTCACGGGCGTAGGGACAGGAAAGAAATCTTTGTGACTGCATAGTCTCTGTCATGTTGATACGAATCATCGAGTTTACGCAATGTTCGTGCAGTCAATCACAAATGAGATTCAAATTCGGTGAGGTGTCTGGAGTATCCCTTTATTTAGTTTGTATCATTTGCTGATAGGGGCTTCAAAACTTAAAGGCAAAAGTCGGGCTCAATAAGGGGGTATTATGGCGATTGAAACTGAGTATAGAGATGCGAAGTGGAACGACAGTGGAGAAAAAACTGAGAAAAACCGTCGACAAGGCCGTTAACAAAACCCTCTTTCCCACTAGCAGTGAAGGAGGCTGGCTTGGGGAAAGAGGCACGTACAAACAAGTTTTCTGGAGATGTCAGTCGTTCTATCGGTTGATACGGCAATCAACCTAGCTGATTTCACACGTTATGCCAGCCACGCACCACTTCCGGAGGTGGGCGGTCCCGGATTGACGAGGCGGGAATTACTCCTCTAGCGCCACTGAGCCCGACCTTTGCCTTTAAGCATACGAGCGTTGTGAAAACGCGACACCATGACAACGTCGTGTTCGGGGCGAATTTTCCAATTCATTGGTTCATTCTTGTAAATAAATAATAAAGGATAAAGCATTTGCCGTTGATCAATCCCTTTTTGGGATGCGGCACGCATTCTACTTCCATTTGTACATTCGCAGTGGCATTTGAATGCGATGTGGCCTATACAATGACTTGCGGGGGCCAGCCGATGTTCAAGTCAGTGTTTTTTATCCTCCCAGACAAGTCTGTA